AAATTACCTCATCAGCAACAATCTTGGGTAATTTTCTATCTTATGTCTATTGCTCCTACATCAACGATTCTGGTATCGTTGGATTCCTAGCACTCTGTAATGCTGGTTTGTAATTTTTATTGCACAGAAACCTCCCGTTAGTGACAAACTCAGCCCTACTAGCAAGGAAGGGCATGAAAGGTTCTAGGAAAAATGCAGGGTAACCCACAATGAAAATGATGATAATTCACATTACTTTCCATTGCAGGGGGCTGTGTCCCCAGTGACCCCCCCCTGAGGGGGGCTGTTGCCCCCCAACCCCATCCAAAGGAAACAAAGCATCCACCACCTATTCATGGCAGGATAGAGCGCACATGAACTAGATGTGGAGCCAATAACCTACTATATAACTTAGGATTTTTATGGCACTAACCTGATTGATAGATGTCGCAGGCTTGCAGGCTTTTCCCCGATGGAGGAGGCCATGGCGGAAGCACATTGGCTGGTGTCTACCTCGCACTTAAATTCTCTTTTGGAGTATGAGCACCCTCCACATTCAGCCATCGTGGCGGCTATGGCTGAGTACCGAATGCAACGAAGGTAGGCAGGTCCGTACCATACTTGTTTTGAATGCGTATCTCGCTGCTTCCAGAAGAACGGAAATTATACAGAATAATTTGGTTAAGAACACAGATCTTGTGGTTCCAGAGGATGGGAAACTTGACCTTGAAGCGACGTTCTTATGCAATAGATGGTGACAGGCACTTCAGTAACTATATGGGATTATAACTGCCATCTATTGGCTGACTCTAATATAGTCTTACTGGTGTACATATATCATTCCACTCCATCATCCGAGGCTATCGGTGTAACCTCAAGAGCTGCGCAAAGCCTGCCGAGGAGAGAGGGCCAACCACCGTGCTACTGTTCATGTTATACCCTGTTCATCCTGATTATAGTACAATTGTCTCGGTATACAATGCTGACTATGTCAGGGTTAGTGTGCTGCTTCAGTGGGAAAGGTTACAATACCTTTTTAATTGTGTAACACTCTATTCTGCCGTGAATACATGGCAGATTCTTTGTTTCCACGCCGGGGGTGGGGGGCAGTAGCACAGCCCCCTGTAATGGAAAGTAATGTGAATTATCATAGTTATTTTTATTAAGGGTTATATTATTAGTGTTACTTAACCCTGCATTTTCCCTGGAACCTTTCATGCCCTCCCCTGCTATCGGGGCCAAGTTTGTCACAACACGGGGGTTTCCGCACAATGAAAACTTTATATTTGTATTGTGGACAGTGTGAAGAATCCAAAGATACCAAAATCATCTATGTAAGAGTGGTGGACGTAAGATAGAAAATTACCCAATCTTTCTTGAGGAGGGCACAAAGGTAATTATACACAATAGCTCCTCCTTAATGATCATTACGATTTTGGTATATTTGTGATAAGTTATTATTTTAAAAAAGTATGGCTCCTTTCCGAATAAATGTACATCTGATAAAATGGAAAGCAGTTGTATGATTGCCAGTGAAAAATGAAAGTCAAACAAACTGCCATAACTATATTTCTTTTTTGCATAGTGTTATTATTTGTGAATTGTGATAAAAGTGCAATTAATGAGAAATATCTGATTTTATTAGTCAAAAATATTGATTGATTTGTTGGTGTGCACATGTGTATTTATGCACTTTCATCTGCATAATATGTTCACAGGCACAGGTACAAGTTCACACAATTGTACACACTTGCACATGCACTTGCAGATGCACTGGTACATGTGCCTGTACACACACCAGTATGTGAATTTGCACACCACAAATGCAATTGCACATGTTTGCACAGTCACAGGCACACTTTATATTCATGTACTCAAACACTCCACACACTTGAACACACCATTTGGACGAACACTCAAAACATGCCATGCACATATACACACACAAGTATACTATGCTCGTATGCACACAAAAGTACAGGAAGCTCATTATATGATTTCAAATTATTGTCATTAATTTCTAGTCCTACAACTAGCTGAACACAGACAATTATTTTTCTTTTATATCCTTCACCTGTGTGGCAAATGGTCAACAATAGCCTAAGGCGATTCTTGAACTGTTATTGGATGATGTCTTTAAGTTTATTGAGCACTAAAACTTTGTGACCAAGATTTGTGTTATATGTTATTTTTTCAATGTTATGTATTTGTGATATAAAAATAAAACCCAAGATCACTAGAGTCTGTAGTTCGGGCTTCCTTTTAACTCCTGCGATAATTTTATGAGAAATAGAATTTTATGGTAGAGCATGATGTAATCATTGTAAGTTGAAATGGTTATAGGTAGTGTGTGGTTAATGATATAAAAATTCAGATTTTGTAAGTAAGTTTGAAAATAGCAATGTGTTTTGACTGAGAAGCAGTATGTGAAATGGTGGGTATGTCTGGCAAAGGGCCAGGAACTATTCATGTGTAAAAATAGTATGTGGGTAGTTCATGGTTGTTTTGACAAAAGGAAAAT